TCAGAATTAAGGATCTGATCTCTGCCTGTTGATCTGCACAAAGGCGGATTTTGCAATGTAACTTTACAAAATGCAGGCACATTTAGAAGAGAAAATGGAAAAAAAAAAAGAGAGGAATCTCCAGTGATGAAGAAAGCAACATGTCCTGAGAGACAAAAAAAAAAGACTGAACCCTTCAAAAGTGGCATCAAAATACATAAAAATATCCATGGCTTCCCCTGATGGGTTGGGGGTTGCTCCTTACTCCTGGCCCAGGCTGCATTTGACAGCTCTCTGTCACCTCTATTACAGGAAGTGTTTTCAAAAGGGAAAAAACCCAGACATTTGAGCTCAATATTCCTATGTAAATTGTTCTTGCTAAATGCTTCACAGCAGCCTGTCCAAGGGACATCCACGTGGGACAGTGGGAATATTAATGTCCCCCATTCAGCTGAATCAGGGAAGTGCTTGCATGACAAAGGAAGAGCATCACTGGGAAGGCTGGAGGAAAGCACCATGGGATTTGCAGCACGGAGCGATGTGTACCGATGGTTGCATCACTGCAGCAGTGCTGGCAGCTCCAGCATTTAAACTCATCTGTGGCAGCTGGTGGGTTGCTCAGCTGCAATTTACCATTAGGCTGCTGGGAGTAGTGTGGGCAGAGCAGGGAGGCAGGGGACCCTTCACTGAGAGCCTTGAGTTAATTCTGCAGTGAAGATAAGCCCTCGAATAGAGATTCTTCAAAAGGATGTGGCCAGGGAGACTTTCACCACAGGGGTCTTGAAGCAGGCAATCAGGCCCCCCTTAATAAAAAAAAAGAAGGTAGAAGATGGTTGGGGAAGAGTACACTTCTTAAATGTGCTGGATAAACAAGGCTGGAACATCTCTTGTTACTCATCCTCAAGGCGACAAGAGGTTTTTGAAGAAGCAGTAATGCTCGTGTAATCAAACAGGAGCAACTGTGCTGGTCCTGCCCTGAGGCTTGTGCTCTAAACTATAACTAATGAGGTAAAGGTGCAGGCAAAAAAAGCTTCCACAGAATCCCTGTTCTAAGGCTGCTGATTTTACTGGAACATGCCCAGCAGTAAAATTCATACAGCCATCAGGAAAGCCATGTCCTGGCCTGACCCTCCCACAGAAAACAGCAAAACAAAGGGGCAGGGATTTGGGGTCACGTTTGGGGAGGCTCCATGATTCAGCATGTCAGTTTACTAAAGCCCCTTTAATTTGTCACATAATGAGGGAGCTGGGCAATCACCCGCAGCTCCAGGCTGCTGCTTCATTGCACAAAGGTATGGCCCAGACAGTGACGAGCGTCTAAGGAACAAATGACTCTCAATTAGGACAGTAGGTCAGAAAGAGCAAGATGATTCATATCCAGGACATACTCCAACCATCCACAGTAACACTCAGCAGTTCTAGTCAGCTTCTTCAGAGCACCACAAACACCATTTCAATGGCTCTGGCAGGTAACAAGGAGCTGGGCTTGAGAAGATCACTCGAGACCTGCTAATTCTAGGAGTAATTGAGCTAAGATGGAGAGAAATAGCTTCCACTGTCCTCCAGCAATAGAAAGGGATGAGAGCTCTGTCCTGGTCACAGCATGCCACCGCTGGGTCTAAGAAACCAGGGGACATGGGGATTCACCTCCCCAGAATTAATAAATAAGGTACCCAGAATTAATAGTCTCTTTTAGAGATCTGGCTGCATGCAGTTTTCCCAGGAGCACGCAACAGGTCGTGACAGATGGGGTTTAGGAGTGCTTGGCTCCTAGGTTAGCACCCTGACAATACCTCCGCTCAGCTGTGCAAATCGTATTTTACTTGCTTGACTGTGAGTTGCTGGGCAGTGGGAAGTAATTTTCCATGCTTGCAGTTGGCACTGGGTTTTACCTTGACTGGCGTTTGACAGTGCAAGCTCTGTCAACACTGTTTCACCTCTTAGAAAACAATAATTAAGAAGCCTGGATGATAGGTTTTAGGATGCAAGAACTCAGTGGCCAGCTCTACTTTAACCGAGTCACCACAGTTTACTACTCTGCAACAAAATGCCTTTTCCAGATTTACTTGAAGACTGGGATATCAGAAGAACCCAGGGATGCCAGACATACACTTGGTTGACTTTGATCTCTCTGAAGACAAATCTTTTAAAGTTTAGATCAAGGAATCTTTTAATGAAACAAAGAAATCGTGCCACTTGTATCGGTTCCAGATATAAATAAATCAGCTAGAAATAAACAGGAGCAAGGCAAACGTAAAGGAGACAGCCACGCTCTGCAATGTCAGTCCAAAGTGACTGCCTGATGGATGATAATATAGCTGGCTTGGGAAAAAAAGTCAGATTTTAAGAGTCTTGCTGCCAGCCATCTGGCAGATCTTCCAAATATACTGCAGTAAAACTTCACTGAATTGCTACCTTTTTTGCATCTCCTGCCATCAAGACAGTCTATTTTACTTTTCAAGTGTAGTGAGGATTTTGAAATCTCTACTAGGACTCTCCTTAGGGACTCGTTGTAGCTCTCCTCGTAGCCAGTTCATTGTTCCTTCCCTCCGCCACTTGCTAGATATGCTTAATCTTCCCAAAGTAAAGATGCTCATACACATTTAGGGGGCCACTAAAATACTGAGCACATCTAACTCCTGCTGCAGATACACCTTCTGTTCGCAATTCACAGGTGCCATTCCCTTGTGCTGCAAGAGATTTATAGCACGTCCATCCCCTTGCTCCAGAAGCATCATGACTTCATACTTGGGCAACATTTCATTCTTCCAAACAGTATAGGGCTTATTTTCATAACTGAGTAATTTGGACTCTGTACCCCAGAAGGCAATAGTAAATATTAACACTAGCCATTTCCTAATAATCTGTACCAACGAGAGTGATAAAAATTTATGGTCACTTAAATCCTATTCCTTTCCATGAAAGTGAAAAGTCTCTTTACAGAACAGGCTGCCCTGCTGAATGTTAATGAATTTCTTTCCCCTGTCCCATCAGCTCCTCCCACCTGGTCCATAATCAGCTGTAACCGAGTCCAAGACCCTCCTGAATTGCAATGAAGCGTAATGGCTTGTGGCCATAGTACTGAGAGTACCGGAACGCAGATAACCCTCCGACACGCCGTCTGAGAGGCAGCTGGAGATCCTATCTGGTGACCAGACACCCCTGGGTTGTAACATGGACTCAGTAAAAGCTATTTTCAGCTTAAATGATCTTTGATACTGAAACTAGAGTTAACCTGGGGAGGGGAAGAGATCATCTGCTCTGAGAGACAAACCAAGGGAGAAGGGGGAGGGAGAAGAGTAGGATGATAGCAAAGGAGAGGGACTCTTTCGGGAGGGGAATTAGATTGAAAATGTGCACCAATGGAAAAAGGAACACAGGAAATTTGTTATTGCATCTCCCCATCACTACGGATCAGGTCCCTGTCCCCCTCAGCTGCCAGCCATGATCATCATTTGTAATTCTCAGCCTTCTTAGATAGATGGGGCTAAGCAACAAAAGCTGTCTCTTAGCAGCCCTCAAGCTTGTCTCACCTTTGTTACCTCCAGTTTTAGTCATTTCTAGTCAAATTGGTGGGGTTATTAACATTGGCTTGATTTTAATTTCACCATGTACAGCTGCAGTTGTTAACAAGCTGCTCCAGGAGATCTGTATAGGACAGTGGAAAGCAGGGAAAGGAAATAATTACAGCATTTCCACCTACGGTAGTCTGCTTCAGGGCAGGTATAAATAGATCCATAAGTGTTTGTTCACTTAAAAGAGAGCTCAGCCTAACTGCTTTTGCAGTTGCCAGCAGCAGAATTGATGGTTTGGGGTTTTTTTCTTCAAAATGAGGGCAAAGATCATGTACTAAATATCACCCTCCCTTCCTCCAGACCGCAAGTAGCAGTTAGAAAGTTTCAGGTTTTTTATCAAAACCAGATGTTGGGCGTATAAAAGTACAGGCAATTTTTCAAAGCCATTATATTTGTTTGGGAAAAAGAAGGCTAATTAGATCAGAAAACTCCATTCAGCTTCAGAACAGGGAAAATTCATGGAAAAAAGCAATAATAATTCACATTTTGTTCACTTGGTGCGCCCAAAAAGCACTGGATTGATGGATGCAAACAGTAACTCCTTTTGGAGTCCTACCACAAGTGTTGAGACAGCACTTGCTAAAGTGTCTGAAAACGCCCCATTTCTTGTCCATAGGCAGCTGAAGAGCAGAGGGAGCGTGAGGTGATGCTGAACTGGGATGGGACTGGGGTCCCAGGAAGTCAGGGGCAGTGGAGCCCTTACTTCCAGCTCAGCCATCCCAGAAATCCTGACTCAAAGGAGGTTAGGAAAGCTCTCCTTGGGATCTGGAGCATCTTGGCACGGAAGAAAGAGGAGCCCAGAGTGGGTGGTCCATCCAGGGTGCCCTGGACCTCTCTCCTGGAGCAGCATTCCCACAGCTCCCTCTCCCATCCCGTGGCTTGGAAGCCCAAATCCCTGCCGACATCCGCCTTTCCCTGCACAAAGCTGTTTAAATAACCTTCACCACTCTGGGGGCTCACAGGAAGGCAATAAACATCAGTTCTGTCCTCCCCTCGGTGGCTCTGCTAATGGGCTGGTTATTATGGCATCACCAAGGCTTTCCAGGCAAAGTGCTGTACTTTGCCTCTGGCCTCCGGTGTTAAAGCTGCACCTCGGTGCTCAGTAATAGCCCATAACTGCACAAAAAAGCACGTACTCTGCCACTGCCCATTGTTCAAGCTACAGGTACTATATTTAACTGAACAATAGCTAATAAACAAAAGACTTTTTAAGTGGTTTGTGGTGTCTGCTAAGCGCCAGCTGCCCTTTTGGTGTTGTACCATGTCTTCAGTCCTGATCCTCAAGTCTCCTGGGGCCCATTCAGCTGCAAAAGCCCAAAGCTACAGTGAGAGGAACAAACTAATCTGATAGGGAAACAAAGCAATTAATGGCTCCTAAAAGCAAAAGGGACAGATGTTTGCAAAGGAAGACAGCACAACAGATTCAAATGTAATTGTGAGTCTTACCACAGGAGTGCTGTAGAAGCAACGAGTTCCTCTGTGTTCCTCCACTCATGCCCCAAGCCAGCCAGCTTCACAGGTGCCAAGGCTCAAACCTGTCATTTCAGGTAGCATTAATAAGGGTTAGATCTGAATTAATCCACTCTTCTGCATGCCTGGGGATGTGATTAAGACTGCTGGCATGTGGCAGCTTTGGCTGCTCCGGGCTGTGCTGAAGCATCTGGAGGTGCATGTTTATGAGTCCCAGCCCAAGGCACCAGGACAGGAGCTGCGTGCAGCCAAAGGAGGGAGGTCTGCTGGAGTCTGCAGGCAACTGAGGAGCTGCACCCAGGTTTCCCATGGGGAGCTGTCTCCAAAATCAGCTGTTTGGAGGAAACAACAGCACGAGCCCCTGGACAGCAGAAGGATCTATGCATGGCTGTAGGAGAGGGCAGCCAGCTGCTGCTCTTCAGGGGAAAGAGGACTGAAGGAGTGGCTCAGACACCCCTATGACTGAAGGGGGGGGTCATTCCTGGGGCAGGCAGGGACCCTCTTGCTGCAGGGCTTGGGACTGTCACCTCTTGAGTCCCTACTCTCTCCCCAGGGCAGTGTAATGAGGCCAGCGCAAAGATGAGGGAGTGAGATATATATTTTTCTCAAGGATTCCTATTCAGAGCTGCAGCTATTGACAGATTTTGTTCTATTCCTACGCTCACTGGAAGCTGATAGTATTTATTAAGCTGATTTCAGGCTCTGAAGCTCCATCCTAGCTCCAGATACTCAGGCAATCATCAGAGCCTGTTGTGTCTGCATGAATATACTAATCCTAACTCTGCTTTCGGAATACATAAAGCGATGTATGGAACCATTCATCTATGAGAGAGTCTTCTAGATGGTTGCAGAGGGCAAGACAGTATTTTAAATATGGAGAAGTCTATGGGAAGCTATTTTAGTACCGGAGGATCATTAACATTTTTGAATGTCTGAGAAGCTGCTAACATTTGTAAGACTTTACAACCAAGATCCATTCTGCCCAATGGAGAATGAGCTCTCGTTTTTCACATACGCTTTAGATATTGATAATTTTCTCATTTTCTGATATGACAGGGCTTGGGGATTTTTGTCCCTGCTGAGACAAGATGACTGACAGAATGAGATGAGAATTTCTCATAAAGAGAAGCAGTGCATTTTTACACAGCCGAGGCTGGAAGAAAGCAATAATTGTCCTAATACTCAGGCACGGTTCTCCAGAACAGATGATGATTCATTTCAGGAGCCAGCACTGACCAACATGCCAGGCATGTCTTCCCAAGCCAAGATGTGGTCTGTTGAGGTGCTCTGAGGCCTGAAGCTTTGGGCTGAAGTTAGAGCTGCCGCTAGTGAACCCATCTGGGCTTTAAAACAACCGAACCAAACCAAAACGAGAGCAGTTGCCTCCACAATGGCCCAGCACAGAGGCTGGGAGCAGTGGGGATGCCTGTCCTGAACGGTGACCACCACTCCTGGTCCTCTGCAGCATCCAAGCTGCAAAAATCCTCTACCCGCTTTCCTCCCAGCCTCCTATTCCAGCTGTTCTCTCCCCTCTCACTATCTGCATCTCATGTTCTTCTCTGCTGTTCCTAATAACTTTGATCTATGCCAAGTCCCATCCTACTCATCTCTCATTAAACCCCAGACCTTTCACAGAGCTTTTCTGCATTGATCTCCCATCCAGCTTTTGTCTCTTTGACATCTAGGTTCTCTTTGTTTGTACTTTTCTCTCTAGATCTGGGAATAATTCTGCCTCCATTGATGTTACCAGATCCAGACCCTGATATTTTATTAAACTCCTTGGAGTATCTTCTGCTTTGCAGATATGATGGTGGATATGACTGCTCCCTGCACCAGCAACACCAAGGGTGTTGCAAAAGCCTCAAGAGGCTGATGTGTATCACAGACAGTAGGAATTTTATCCTGTGCTAGATACTGGCTTGAGAGGGACATTATCCCTGGCAGACACCAGCTCCAGAGAGACATTTTCCATAGCAGTCCTGCCCAGGAATAGATCCTGACTTCATCTAAGAGAGAAGCAGGAGCTGGTTGTACAGGGTTGTGCTGCTCGCTGGAGGACAGCATGGCCAGAGCGAATAGGGCAGGGGTGGCCTTGGCCATACCCGTGGTATATCTACCTGGTCCTGCTCATTTTCTGACGGCAAGTTTTGCTCTCCTGCAGCCTCAGATCAGTATCTCAATGGAAAGCTGCAGATATGAGCAGCCCCTGCCGGCAGTGAGCACTCCCTGGAGCACGAGGGGTCCAGGAACACGTGCTCTAAGCAGATCTCTTATTTGGACAACTACCTTATTGACTATTTATAAACCTAAGCTTACAAGGCAAGGCCAGCTGGAAAATATGCCACCATGGGTGAGTGAAGGTGCTTAGCTGGGAGCAGAGCATTGGAGGTTTTCAGCCCCGAATTACAGGGCAGCAGTGAGCAAGCGGCATTGCTTTTTCTTTCTCTCCCTCCTACTGATTTAGTTTGGAAGTGGGCACTTTCTCCTGTTATATGGTGATAAAATGCTGGGCTCAATAACTGAGATCTGCTGTCTGGCATCAGAGCAACACAAATAACAATAAAAGAAACAAAATAGTGGTGAGTCAGGTTGGTTTCAGCTTGGAAAAACATCAGTTATCCTTATTACTCACCAGCTCTGTTGTCTCCTCTGGGGGACTCTGCCGGCCACCAGTGAGTCTGCAGTCTAAGAGAGGCTGTATTTAGCTCAGGCCCTCCTAGAAACGGTTTTCCCTGGGGTTTTGGTGGTTGCATAGCCACGTGCTCTGGATCGTGAGTACGAGCAGCCTTTCTGCAGAGTGAGAAGAGTCTTGCTGCTGAGCTTAGTGAGAACATGGGGCCATAGACCAATGCAGCATGGAGGAACCACAGCCCAAGGAAGGGTGGACAATCCTTGAGGCCAGTGTCTTCATCTGGGTGGAAACAGCAAGGGAGGAAGCCTGGAGGTGACTACCCCTGTTCCCAGTGCTGGCTGTGGTTGCTGTTGGGCTCCTCAGCAATGTGCAAGCCGCAGCTCTGTTGTACCCCCAGAACATCATCACAACAGCCCAACATGTCCAAAACATGCACCAGGGGCCATGTCCAGCTGGAATCTGAATTTTGCTATTGAGATTTGTGTTCATTAATTTCTAGCCCATTTGCTTTCCTTTGGCACCATTTTTCTCTGCAAGTGAAAAATTTACCCTGAATCACAGTGTGTTATTTCCACTTGTCAAGATAAAGGTTAATGAAATACCAGTAACTGCATCACAAATCTAGCTCTGTATCTATCAGAGATTTTATATGGCATGTTTTACTGTGCAGCCTATGCTTGGAAAAGGCTGTGATTAAAAAAAAACCCAAACTGTCAGAGGTCAAGAAATTCACAGATAGAGCAGCTGAACCCCTGCCCTTCACTCCTCACCTCTCGCCTGTAGGATGAGGGAAAAACCCTCCTGGAATTAGCAGAAATGAGTGTGGGCCGAGATTTAATCCAGCACACAAGATTCTGCAGGGCTGGGGTATTTAAACAGCATTTTCCTTTGCAAACATTGCCTGCATATGGATAATGGTTACTTGGATATTTATACACTATGTAAATAATATAGAAATTACGTATATCATAGAATATCTTGAGTTGGAAGGGACCCATAAGGATCATTGAGTCCTATATATATATAGGATTTAGAAGCAACATGATGCTATATTTGACATATAGCTGTCTTCAGAGAGTTTTGCACCAGGGGTGCAAAGAAAATGTAACATACTTGCTGCAGAGAGTCTCATGCCCTGAACATGAAACTGGGGCTGGCAGAAGGATGCACCATGAGTTGCTCTGCGCCCTGGGAGTCGAGATGAATTATACAGTGACAAACTCCCCTTCGAGATCCACACATCAGACACCAAGTTAAATACTTGGAAATACAGAAGATGCCCCCATTCAGCCACAGTTCGAACACATGAGCTCGCAGGAAGGAAGGGAGGAGCTGCTTTGTTTTCTTCCTTAGGAAGGCCGGGGACGGATGGGATGAGTGTCAGGAGCTGCCGTGCGGGATGAGTCAGGAGATTGGCATGGGGCGGTTTGCATTAATACCGGCTTGAACACATGCCAAAGAGGATTTCCAAAATTCACAGCCAGTTATTTCTTGTCGTAGGGTAAAGAGATCCTATAGCCTGTTCTTCCACTCTGAGGCATGCGATAAAAAGCCTGTGGGGATTATTCTGAGAAGGTTTGTTTGTTCTGTAAATATGTTCTTAAAATACGGGTTTAAAATCTTGAATACAGATGACTAAGTTTAGAAAATAAACCCAAACCCGAACAATAACCCCAAAACTTCTAAGAGAGCAAAACCCTCTCACAGAGAATCTTTTCCCTCCTCCGAGGTGGATTAAAAAGCATTGTTACAAAATCCCAGTCCAGGTTTTATTATGGGCTAAATCAAAATGCTTTGGAGTTTTTGGAATTCAGATCTGAAGTTCATAATTTCAGCCCATATGCTCCATATAAAAGTAAGATAAAGAAAGGGATGTACTTTTTCTTCCTTTTGATATGCAAAGATTTAGATGAAATACTTTCTTTCCAATTTGCTTTTTCAGTAGAAACTCACTAGAGATCCTATCGAACATGAAATACCCTGTGAAGCCTGAGGAGCCTGGAATGATGGATGACATCAAGAGCCAAAAGAATACATACAAAGCATCTGAAGAAAGAGAAACTTAATCAGTGTGAAACTTGTTGGTTTGTTGCTATCAACTTAAAGCTCATGTTGTCATATATCTAGCTTTAAAATGTAAGAACCATTTGGAGAAAGGAAATCTCTGTTAACAAAGTCCTGTCCCTTCAACAACAATGTACTTCATTGGATATTCTCCGCAAGTCCTTCATTAAAACAGTAGCACCAGATGAGATCTATTTTTCCTAATATTTGCAGACTACAATGCAAGAAGGAGAATATTGAAGATTTTATGTATTCCTGAAGAATAGTAAAAACCCCACAAGAGTACGGACGCTCTCCTTCCTCTTTCATTTCCAAGTATCTTACTTTTGAAATTGACTATTAATACTATTTTTATTTAGAAAAAACAACTTTTGCCCACTAGATGGCTGTAATTGTTATGGCCATGCTTAATTTTTGGTATCAAATTCCCATCTTTAACTAAGTCTGTTCTTCCTTTTTGTTATTCTGTAGTACAGGCTCTCCACTTCCACCAGTGTTTGAAGCAATGGGCTCCTTCCTCGCTTCAGCTGTTTATAGGAAATTTAGGTGTTCAAAATGGCTCCTGCAATGGGTTTGTGTCATGTCTGAGGCATAGAAACCCACCACCATTATGAAGGATAAAGTGGGAATTCATTGTTGAAAGAGATACTTTTGTTTTCTACTAGTGCAAGGCGCAATCAAAGGGTAAGAGCCCTTTGGAAAGGCTGGCTGATAGCGTGCCATCTAACGCAAGCAGCTTGTGATTACTGGTATATCACAAAAACGTTGCAAAGCTGATGGACCAGAGCCCAGAAGGCAGGATTGAGCATCTCCCGCGTCCTAGATTCAGGAGAGGAGCTGATGTGAAAAAGAAGCAGGATCTGCTGGAAGGAAAGCTCAAACAATCTATCACAGAGAATACCATTTCTTTGCTGTTTGCACAGGCTCTGGTTCAGGAGAAGGAGTGGGTTTGCAGGGTGGATTTGCAAACTGTTTGCTGGCTGCAGTTACCCATGGCTGCAGTTTTCCAGAAGCTCCACCTAAAGGGAATGACTATGTGGGCTCAGGTGCAGGGACAGACTTTCCTGATTCAGCTAGAGAGCAGGATACCAGTGCTTCATCTAAACAGAGCCACCTGGATATCAACATCTGTAATGTGTTCGACCGCTCTTGACTACAAGCTACATGGAAAGGGAACTGGCTCTCTTCTCACTTTTTAAGTCAAAAATGAGTTTTAAGAAGTATGCAGAAATATTTGTAGCATCCCTTGGCTAAGCATGAGCCTGCTGGGATTCACTGAGTCATCGCTGTAGCCCCTCAGCAAGGGGCATGGTTCCTTACAGCCCCTGTTCCCTTCAGCTTGCAGATAAATCTGCCCTTAATGGGAGTTATTTGTTATTCCATGATGAGTTTTCCTCAATTAAGTGTCTCTAAAGAGGGTTTGCTCAGCCAAGGGCCTCATAAGCATTGAAGGGAGCAATGCCTTTGTCTTGGTTAAAAGCGCCTCACGAATAAAGAATGCACACCCAGCTCCAGTGTTCTGCGGATAATCTGGAAGAAAAAGCACCTCTGGCAAAGGAGGGGCTGTAGTAAGTTTTGGTTTAGAAGAAATTTTGGGCTGCTGTGGTGTGCCAGTTTAATACTGCTCAAGTAGGGAATTCCACTTAGTGCTCGCTCTTGCAGAAATACCACGTCAAAGTGCTTGGAGGGTACAACTGCAGCCAACCCAACATGACCCCCTGCTTTAATTCTATTTCTTCCTAATTCAGTATAATTAAGGGCTCTCTTTTTGTGTGTGTACAAATAGGTCCATGCCCAAACAAGAGCCTTGTGTGCTGTGACTGAGGTCGGGCAGCAAGGTGCTGGGCACACCTCAGTCCCTGCTTCTCGGGGTGGCAGCACCAGGCGTTGTCCCCAGCCCCACCTCTGACCCAGCAGCCTTATCGTGGTGGGTGTGTGGGTCAGGTTTGTCTTCTGCCCTTCCTGGAGCATGCAAATCCAGCCTGCCTGGGTATCGAAATGGAGTTCATCTCCGTGCTAGCTGAACACCTTATAAAGTGATGTTAGTCAAGAAAGAATTAATGAGCCTTCGCATTCACCTAGGTTGTAAATAAGGATGAAGAGCTCAAGTAATATGGCTTTCATTCTAAACTGCTCCTTATTTCTGCATCTGCAAGAGAGGATAAAGTATTTTTTATACTGTAGCAGAACACTTTGAGACTAACAGATGAAAAGAGCTAGGTACTGCTCAGGAAGACAGATGTCTTTCCCTCTCTTCCTGTTCCCTTGAAAGTAATTCCTGCCATCATCTTTTGAAACTATCCAAGTTAAGTCCCTAAAACTCAAGACACTTCCTTGAGATCCCCTGACTTGCTGACTGACTGTTCTGTTTTTCTGTGTCTACAATGAATCTTGCTGAACAGGTTTAACCAAAATAATCTTCATGCAAACATTCTCCAAATGGGTTAATTCCATATCCTGTATCCAGGTCTTACCTGAAGCCCACTGAATAAATGGATGGTTTTGTTATAAGGTGATGAGCCAGAACTTCAGGTAGCATCATAACCATATAGATTTGAAATAATTTAGCTTTCAGCACAGAGTTTCCAGTACTGCAATAGCAGAAGTATAAATAACCACATTTTCTGAGCATTGCAAAGGCCAAGTGATTAAGGTCAGTAGCCACACAAGAGGAGTTTGCCTTTGGTGCGTAGCTGAAGATCACAGAAGGTACAGAGTACCTCAGTCTCCCATTAAACCATAATGGGGCTGTGGATGCTTTGTATTTCCTCCTAAATAAAAAGTCTCTCACTCTGGAGAGACTTTAAGCTGTGCACACAAAACCTAGAAGTATGCAAAGCTACAAGATACTTTCTAATAACAGAAGCAGAGAGGATAAGGCAGGATGAAGAGCATGGCACCAGCTCCTGCAGGTAGCAAAGCTCCCCTCAAGCCCCACGCTTGGAGCACACTCAATCTCCACCTCACCTTCACAAAGAAAATCACATACCACAGGGATTTTCTGGTCACCCCTGCAATATCAGTGCTGGGGAGACATAGAGGAAGAGTTTCTCTCCTTGTGCAATTCACCATGGGATGATGCTTGGGTAATTGGGAGGGTCATCCACATAAGAGCCTAAGTGAGATGTATTGGACTGCACCAGAGAGTTGTCTGAATTGTGGTAGAGATATCCAGCTTGGAGTCAAAGAGCTGGAGGAGGCCATGAAGGCTGAGAGCAACCAGGTTGGGTCAGATGGCTGCTTGCTCCTTCAGACTCCTGTGTCTGGAGCCAAAGCCCCTGCAGGCAGTGGGAAGGCTCCAGTTCATGTCCCTGGGTGTCAAACGTGGCCCTGGGATGGGTCACACACATTCTGAGAAGGGACGTCTGTCACCTTCATTAATCTGATCTGGGGATGGCTCCGAAACAAAGCGTGTTGTGAGCCTGACCAAACCCGCCCGGCAGCGCTCGGCGGTGAATTCTTGTGCACGCTCCCTTTTTGTTTTGTATGATTTCCAACGTTTCTGGCAAAAACATTTCCTCTGACTGTTTTCCTTCTAGAAACAGCCTCTTCCAGACAGGGCTGCTCTGCCACTATTGAGCTGGGTAGACACGAGGCTATTTAAAACACAGAGCTGGAACACTAGCAAAACACTTGTCTCGGTCCAAGACAAGCAGGGGAGGGGAGGGGTGGGTGAGCATCGCCAGGGTGCAACCTTGCTCGTCCTGGGAGCTTTATGCCTGCGTCATGCCCATTTGTGCTGAATTTAAGGCTTCTGGGGATGGAGCCTGTGACAAAACCTGACAAGGTTTCTTAGAAGCTGCTACTTCACAGCCTGCAGGATTTATGGGTTTTGACTGCACTCTGCGGTCAGCAGTTTAATTATTTACCAGCCTATGCACAGCACTGCTCTCGCAGCAACCATCAAATCCGACATTTTGCTAATGTGAGGGTAATTGGGTTATTTTATGTCTTTTTTCTGATCCCACCAGCTCAAACCACCACTACCCCCCCCCCCCTCTATTCAGCTGGGAGATGCAGAGTCATAGCTCTGCTGGATTGGCTTCCCGCCACCTCACTGCTCCTTTAAAACCCCATACCTCCCATTGAAGGAACTCGGTGTCCTGTTCGCCAGGAGGACGTCAATGTTTCTATGGAAACTCTTCCCAAAGATTCTCGCTCCGCGCTGCCGCCGCTGCGTATTGTATGACCGGCTTTGTACACTGCAATTCATTATCGAGGCTGTGACGAAGAGGGAGCAGCTTTCTGCCCGAAGGGAAAGAGCACTGACAAAACACCATAAAATAACAAACCTACCCCCCCCCCCCCTTAATATTTATAAAATCAGCCACTAAACCCAAAGGTGTTCAAGCTGTTTGGTATTTGAGTTATGAATGGAATCTGCTTGCCTGGGCTTCTTGCAGTGAAAAATACCCTTTCCTGAATAATTAGCTCAGATGAGGGAGATTATAAATTCTATGTAAGGTCATTTTTCTTCTCAGTAGCCAGGAGAACGTTTTCCCCCTCTCACCATTACAATCAGGATGATGGGTGAATGTCACGCAGGTAACAAATGGGCCTGAACAAGAACCCTGGGCATGGACTGCTTTGAGCACAGGGGAGGCTCAAACCCAGGCTCAGGTTTTATGTTTGAATTAATGTCTGTGATGGGGGTGCAGAATTAATAGGCTGAAGGAAAACTCACATTAATTTCCCTTTTTCCTAAATAACCAGAAATCACTGGGACCAGTGGACCTCTCCCTTACTAACCATGTCCAAAGGGTCAGATCTCTAACCCTTCTGCAGTGAGCATCAGGTATAACATATTAGGAAGGCAAAAGGTATGGATTTTTTTCCCACTTCCATTATAGCTTTGCTGTTGTTTTATATTTAGAGGCAACTGTTAACTTTGAAAACCTGAGACTCCTTGGTGCTGGCCTGAAGGAGCCTAGGACCTGATTTTCAGCAGGGCTGGGAAACCTCAGCTCCCACTGGAAGCAGCAATGGGCTCATGGCATCTCAGGAAATCAGATTGCAGGGGTCCCAAAGCAGATACTCCCAAACCAAGGTACTCAGTTAGTGACACTTGCAGAAGGGCAAGGCCTTAAGCCAGCAGAAGTTTGAGATCTCGCGAAGGAAAACGTTACATTCATCTGCTACGCTGAGAAACAGCACCGAGTAAAAACCCAAGTGAAGATGAGGATGAGAGGAGACGTGTGTTTTATTTTTAAACCTTATGAATTTCTGAGTGGTTTCTGCATTGTCACTTTCCTAGGATGGAGGCAGGCTTGGGAAAATAGGAATTTCAAACTCTGCTAGCTCCCTGCTCCTGTGCTAAAGACTCATATTACCTTTAATTGATGTTGCTGAGTGCATCCTCATTGATTTACTCCAGCCGTGCTCTTTATGCAGAGAACATTCTATTCTCAGAGCGTAATCGAGCCCCATGCAAACAATATAGATGTTTCCTGATAACATAATTTAGAAAGAGGAGATGTAATTACTGCCTATGCTGAATACACAGCATCTCTGTGCTTGCCAGTGCACTGCAAACCCGTGGCCCCTTTCGGAATCCATACAGGAGAAACTCCCAAATCCTTCAATGTGGTTCTCATTTTGCTGAAAGCCTTTTCCATCTTATTAAATATGCTGGTCCTTGTGCCTTTGATTTTAACTTCCTAACTATAGCACATGCTGGAATTACTTAGAAGGCTCTTACAGATGAAATTCAGGGATCATTCCTGTGGAAACGTGTCCATTCGTGGAAGAGGGGACAGCAGCAATGTGGGCTGTGGAGGAATGGGGAGGGGACCAGGCAGGTTCTCCCTGGGGGTGCTTGGTCTTTTAAGAAATGCAACAGAGCAGGTTCTTGCTTTTAAGGACTTCTCTTAAATACTTAAAGAGGAGGCTGGAACTCATCTGAAGTGCTCCAAAATAGTCTGCTTGTCTATACATAGCCCTATCACTGTGATTTAAGATGAGTAGCTGGAGTGCTTTGCTCTTATAAATCACCCTATAAGCACTGCGTTTCATTGTCTTCTCGCTGATGGAAGGATATACGGGGCGAGACATTACAATCTGAATTTCCATCTCTAGGGTTAAATCTGTCTCAGTTCAGTAGTGGCTGGAAAGCAGTGCCCCGTAGCGGGGTTTCATGTGGAATAAGCACGTATCCCTGCACTGCATGGTCAATTGAGATCCGTAGCGGAGAAAAATCCCCACTGTAATTGTTCCCCGTATCAGCTGCCTCAGGAAAAGAATAAATAAAATAATAAATAAATAAAAATCAATGACTGAATTGGCCCCAGAGACTCACTAACTCTCCTCTCATTTAGAGAGCAGTTGCTCCTGAACACTTTTCCACATTGCAAAGCCACCACATAATGGAACAATTCAGCTCAACTGACAGCCTTGGCTAAAATAGCCCTGGAGCTGCACAGGGAGATAGGAGAGGTGTTGTAGGTTAGTGCCGAGGTGCTTGGCAGCATTGTCAGTAGGAGCCATGCCCACACTAAAATGAGTTTTTCAAATGACTTCAGCAAGACCAGAATTAGCCTGTAAGCCTGATGCAACAACTCAGTGCAGAGCCCCTTTGTATTTCGAGTTCCTGCTCATCAGGTACTGGCTTCTCCCCATAGTCCGCAGTGGCAGCTTTGCCATTTCCACCAAGGGTTAAGGAACAGGACCGGGTTGGGAATGGGACCTCCTGTCAGAGGAGAAGCCCCACCTCTGCAGTCTGTTTCCTTGCTGGGACCTGATGGAGCCTCAATTTAATTTGCCTTACGACCCTGGGTGAAGTCCAGCTACAGATAAAAAGCATTTACTGTTTAAAACTCTTTAAACATGGACCAAAATAGGTCCTAAGAACCGAAGATGCATACTGGGGTTGTATATCATTATCTAATTTAGACATGAGGGGAGCAAAAGAGTTCAGTGACCACTGGGATTAAGAAGCAAGGCGATCACCTTCAAGGAAAACAACAGCAACCAAGTACATTGCAAGCCAGCAGAAAACACAGTAAAAGAGGAGCGAGTTTGCACAAATAGGGGTAAATACCACTGGCAGATTAATCTTTTTGTCTACACATTCTCCCAAATCCCGACTGTGGTGGGACTGGACAACCCAGAGGGTTTGGTTTAAAACCAGTTCAGGTTAATCCTGCAGGATTAGCATGGGTGAGACCAAACCATAGCTCACGACATAGCAATCCATGATAAGAAACCAAACTGAAGTTTAATCTGCAAAAAAATAAAAGCCATTTTCTAATAAGGCCAAAGAAGAGCAGACAAATCAGGGACTGAGAGGAACTGGAGGTGAACGTTGAGAAAAGCAGTAGAAGTACATTTATTTTTAAACATTTTAATTTCAAGTCCCAGGAAAACCATTGAACACGCACAGAACCTGGGGTTTCTTTAAACAGGGAAAGAAGATTAAACACTAATCTCCGCTGATTTCCCTGTGTGGCAGCAAAAATGAGCATGGCTTGAGAGACTGACCTATGAGAACAGATTAAGACGACCTAAATTTGTGTAGCTTGGCTAAGCAACAGCAGTGAATGAGGGCCGTGCTGGCAGGGTGCAAAAACAGGGAAAATTGAGTATTATTTGGAAAGACAGCAGAGTTTGGGGATCAGAATTAAGGAAGGGTCAGGCAGAAAGCTGGAGAAATGGTTTTAAGACACTGGTGTGTGTTTTAGGCAATGAAAGCAATGGTCCTCTGAGCATGTAAGCCCAGGGCTGGATGAGATGCTGGTGTGAGGGTTGCTGGATGCTGGCAGTGACTTTGAGTGCTTCTATAGCTGAGTTTCCAAAGCAAATCACCTTTAGAAAAATGACAGCTCAGCTTGTACTATAAATCATTTCTTCTCAAGCAAGACACCCAGCAGCCACTGCTCAGTTCTCACAATCCTGAGCAAAAAATAAACCACTGGGAACAATCCTGCACTGAGGGAATGGACAAGCTCATCTAATGCATCTTTATCATCTCTGGTTTCCATGACAGTTGCATAATCAGACATTTATATAAGTAGAGGTTTCCTCCTGAAATAGCAGCCTATGATCTCATGTGCACCTACGGTGTAACCCATTTGAATGGAAATGACATGCCAGTCATGTAAAACCTCATTTTTTAATGCTTCTGTCTTGTTTTTATTTATTTATTGTAGCAAATCAGCCCGGAGAGCATCGCTCACAAGTGGCTGACTCTTGTTGTGGTCTTCTTGTGGTCCAAAATCAACCACGGTCCCCAGGTCCAATGAGCAGCAGGGCTCCACGCTTGCTCGATGATTCAGTAGGAATCTGTGTATTCCCAAATCCTGAGCCCAGTGCAGCACCTAAACCAGCAGCCTCCAAGCAGCTCTAATCTGCAGAGGTTACCGGATGCCTCAGACACTGTTCCAGGTTTGCCAGGAGGTTGGGATTTCCTTGCTGCATCCTTCCCACAAGAGGCCGGAGCAAGGGTGGTTGGTAGGAGAGCTCCAAGGGTTTGTCTTGGCCAATTTGGGGATTTCTCAAGGCGGGAGGAAAACACCCAGGACAGCTCCACTCCCACTGCAGAGACTTCCTCAAAGCTCCTCTGAGCTCATGCCTATGCAGAGTATCATAAAGCAATGCCAAAAATACAGATGTCTTCCCATATGTGATATTAATTGAAATGAAGGAAAGCAGAACCGGTCTGTGAAATCTCAGTCCTACTCCCACCTAAGTTCATGTGATAAGAGTGAAATGCAAGCAGAAGTAACTGCAGTTCAATCTGTGTGCAAAAAAAGAACATTAACAAAAAATAGCTACCTGGAAGAAGAGGCTTTTATCTAGAGGCTGCAGACATCAGCAGTCTGGGGAGTTGATGTCAGTAGGCAAATAGTTCTTAATATGGATACTGTGGGGTACCAGAGACTCTTCAAAACCTGTTCAGGAGCCATATCTGGTTAGTTGATCCTAAAATGTAAGTGGTCTTATTTAGACCATCCTCTTTCTTAGTACTTTTTCTGCATCACTCTGCATCATCCACTGTATGCAAAAATATCCCCAGAGAAGAGGAAAACAGGCAAGAGCAGAAATCTCATCCGTTCTGGCAGCCTTTGCAGTCTCCAATCTGTGGGGCTCTTACCAGCCTCTGGACATTGCAGTGCCTTCTCTCAGAGATCCTACTATTAGAGTGACACAAAGTATATGATGGACTGTTGTTCCCAATATCAAACAATCAGCACAAATATCTCCACTTGCTCCTCAGCCTTAATCTCCCTTCTCCCACTGAAGCTGATTTAGCAACAAAGATAGAGGAAAAAACGGGGTGGATTGGGGTTTGCAAGTCATCATCAATTGGATTTCATGAACCCAGCAGTATCTCAGAGCAGGCTCCAATTTCCCCTGAACCCCCTGCAGCTCCTATTAGCCTCGATAACTAGTTCTAATTTTGGCCAGGACATTTTGAAGTGGGGGGGGGTTGTTCATTTGCTTGTGCAAAGTGACTCCTACCTCCACGCAGCAAACATGGGCTGTGCAATGGCTTCATTACACCGAGCATTCCTGCTCCTATAGCTGGGCTCGGGTGCACGTTACGTAAGTGGATTGTTAATGCTTTTTATATGTTGGCGGAACTGAAATTAAAAGAGGAAATTATTCTCCTGATGCTCAACTCTAATCCCCATCTGTCTGTGTTTTTACTTTTCTGCACTTGCAAAGCTCCCCGATCAAAAGGTCTTGAATACATTCCAGATTTCCAATTTCGTTTGCTTATGCAACCCAAAATATTATGGCAGCCTTTCCTGGGGGCGATTAAGCATATATTTTCAGTTCCTCCAATTCTCTCTGTTCCAAGAGTGCTAAAAATGGCATAAAGCTTTAGCTCATTCCATACCGTTAGCACCACAAACAACTTTCCTTTTCTTTTTTTTTTTCCTCTCTTTAAAGACTTGTTAAAAAGCCAGGAATAGCCCAGGGCTTTGCAGAGAAGGAATATAGTCTGGAAAAAATGTGCTTTATTAAATGTCCCCCATGCCTTGGCAAAAAAAAAAGCCAGGGAGTCTCTACTGATAGAGCTGCGCAGCCAAGGCAAACGACAGGGGTCTAGGCAGGTGAGGAGG